GGTTTCTCACTGTCCTGGAACTCACTCTGTAGACCAGGCTGGCCTCGAACTCACAGAGATCCACCTGAGTTCTGGGATTAAAAGCGTGTGTGCCGCCACGGCCGCCGCCGCCGCCGCCGCCGCCGCCGCTGCCGCCACCTGGCTGCATGCTGCTTTTGCAGAGGACTGGAGTTCTGTTCCCAGCACCCATGAGTTGGGCAGCTCACAACCACCTGTGACTGCAGCTCCCAGTGAGGGATCTGATACATGTGGACACCTGCACTCACATGTGGCTATACAGATAGAAATAACATTTTAAAGACATTAAAGTAACTATCTTAGTTCCCCCAGATTGTGTCAGAACCAGGATTCAGATTCTTCAAAGCTTTCTATAACCTAAGGAGATGCTTCGTCTCTTCAGTACCCACAGCGTTAGTCATCTAGGTAGAGTCCCCAACTGGAGTCCACACCAGAACACCCAGAGGACTTGTTAATATGTCTTGATGGGCTCCCACCTCCCCAGACATCCCGCTCCATCCAACAGACTGAGTGAGGCCTATCTGGTAGTGTACATTCGTGGCTGGTTCTCTGAGGAATGCTGTTATGGTTGGTCTGCGGAGCATACTTTGTGGGGGGGGGTGTCACTGCTCCTCCCCAAGGATCCCAAATTTATTACTCCCCTAGCATGACACAGCACCTAGTATATAGTAATACCTGAAATATATTTGTTTAGTTTGACCTGTTCAGGTACAGATCCATCTCTCCTCTGTGTATGATGTTGTTTTGACCTCTCTGTGTGCACATTCTTAAACTTTGCCATTTAAGATTTAAGGAAGTTCCATGGGGTCAGACATCTGTATGCCTAGCGCATGGTGCAGGGTCTTGCATTTATGGTATGCTTGGTAAACATTAGCTTGATTGGTTGGTTTAGAGATGAATCTCCCTGAGACCTGAACTGAAATCTAGATGGTATCTAAGGGGCCACCTTGAGGCACTCCACGGGGTCTAACAAGAGGGCCTGGCACCATAGTTGGTCTCCAGATGTATTTGTTGAATTCCTGATATTATTGTAGCTTTGTGGTCAACAACCTGGACATTTACCTGGTATCTTTAGCCTAATTCCAGTTTGGGAGTTCAGCCTCCAAACTAAAGTTGGTAGATGGAGCTTTCTAGCAACTACTCTGTCCATACATTGAAATCACTTGGGGGCTTTAGCATGATGTAATGGTACCCCATATGTCCGTCCCCCGGCTCCAGATTGTGGCTTGGTTAGTCTGGAGTGTAGCTGAAGCACCAAGACTTTTAATGCTCCCCTGGGTGATGTGATGTGCAGCCAAGGTCGGGGACCTCACTGGGGTATTTGGCTTCTTCATTTTCCTTGGACATTTACGGAAAGTTGTTCGCGTATATGTGTATGTGCGTGAGCAGACATGCAGAGAAATGGGGAGCTATGTCTTCCTCTTGAGTGATCCTCCACCTCTCATAGTCTAAAATGAGGATGCAAGGATTGCACGTCAAGTCTCAAGTAGAGACTTGGCAAAGTCACATGGCCACCTGAGAGCAACAAGGATGCCTGCCACCGTCTCCTGTGGCCGTGTTTGGGCAACTGCTGGTTGCCACATCCCGTGATGTGGGGGCTCTTTTTTCCCAGGCTGGAGGCGGGAATAGGGCCTGAATGCAGGTAATGTGGCTGTTGTAAGACCCCTTTGTTCTCTCTCTCAGTTCAGAAGGGGCTGTCCTGCCAGGGGCTGAGGTGTGGGGCTTAGCATTTGGCACCACGTGCCTCGGTGCTGAGCTTGTTCTTGGGTTTCTTGGTGGCGACACACCCGGCTATGTGAGCCCACAAGCTGGCTGAGAGTAATGGGAAAGGTCATGCTGGGGCCTTCACCCCAGCAGGTTTCTTGACTCAGCACAATCCTGGTGTAATTAAGCATGGCAAGAAGAAAAAGGGGCATGGGTTGGTGCTTACCCGTGTGCACTCAGCCCAGGCCCCAGGGAGCCTGGGGATTCAGAAGTGCCAGCTGCTCTCGATTTATGGGAGCCAGGATTTGGCTCACCAAGGCTACCTCCATGTCTGGGACTCTTGTTTCAGTAGCCAGCAGGATTGACTCTCCGAGTGGTATGACTGTGTGGGCAGCCCTCAGTCTCCCTGGACCCCAGTCTCCTCTGTGCCATTTGAAGCTGACTGGGGCACAGGATTATAGCAGTGTGTTCAAATCACCTCCGTTGTTTGAGCGTAGCACCTGGCAAGGAGCTGTGCTGGACACCAGAGCAGGAGATGAGTCTTGGACTTGGCTTCTTTGGGTAGATGGGAAAGCAGTGTACAGTCTGGAATTCACTTACCTACCTGGGCCAGACAGGTATTATAAGTGATTAACTTGGGCGCCTGCGAGGTCATAAGAAGGAATAAGTGCACAGTGAACTTGGTTTCGCATGCCCAGTCAGGTGCTGTGGCACATGCCCGAGGGTTTCATGTCCTGTGGGGTGGGCCCCCATGCCGGTAATACAGAGTTGGTGGGATTTAAGAGGTAAGGCCTAGGGCATGGTAATTAGGTCATGAGGGCCCCGTCCTTGCAAAGATTAGTATCATTCTCATCAGATCCCTGCTAGGGTTCTTCTGAAGGAGCACACATGACCCTGGACTCTCCAGCTGTCTGACTGACCATTTGATCTCTCCTCCATGGGTTCCCTTCGTGATGCCTCCTGCATGAAGCCCTCACCAGAGCTGGACAGGTGGGGTCCCCCCCACCTCAGACTTAAGTACAAAGTGTTTTGCTCTAACAGCAGACCACGAGGGTATTTTAGAAGCTCTTTTTACCAACTAAATAACAACAGCAAGCCACGTGGTGGGACTGGATAATGAGCAGCCAATGTAAAACCCACTCTCTGGCCACTGTGGGCAGTGAGTTCTCAGCTGGGAATTGAGCCAGGGTATTGGGTCAGGGTAGAGGTGTCACCAGGATGCAAATGGAGCAGGGCAGGAACCGCATTGACTCTGTCCTCTAAATATGCCCCCTTCAGAAGCAAGAGAGCTGAGGTCAGAGAGAAGGAACAGAATGGGGTCTTGAGTGCCCTTGGCACAACACCTAGAGCCAAGCTGGCCTCTGCCCTGTACCCACCTGGTTCCTTCTAGTCTCCTTCCCATCATGCACTGTACCCCATTGCCCATCACCAGTCTGTGCCCACTTCTTCCCACAAGGAGGGTGATCTGCAGACTTTGCCAGTGACCCCAGCCAATTGGACTGTGTCTGTAACGAGAGGGTCTATGAGATGGGTTCTAGAATTAGAGAGGCCAGAGTCAGCCCAAGGGTCCTTCCTCTAAGAAACAAAAGAAGAAACAGCAGCCTCGGGCTTAGGCAGTGACATTGGCAAGTCCTTTGCTCTGAGGTTTGAAGTCCTCCGTAACTTCTAGGGCTCTCTTGGTTTTGATCTGCTGCTATGTTTAGCTCCGATCTCCAGAATATAGGGCTCCCCCACTGTTTTATTTGTCCATCTACGCACCCCTGGCTTATGTTTCCGTGGAGAGAACGCTGCGGTGGAAGTTGCCTTCTTGCTGAAACAATCTGATCCCATGCGGTACCCCACGCACCGGCATCGGGCCCCAAGCCACGTCAGAGTCAACAAACCACAGCCTGAAATTGCTGCCGGCCAAGGCAGAGGAGTCTTTAATTTGGACTTAAAATAGCCCACAGCCTGAGAGTTTTGTGGGGACCAAGAGCAAGGTGTAGGAATGGGTGCTGGGGGGCCTATCTCTGGAGCCAAGGCCATGAACTGTGGGCAAGGCATGGGGAGGGATTGCATGGCTGAGTTGGAGGTCCCATAGCTTATTTGAGGTTGCCTCTTGAATCTTTTTCCTAATACGAGGGGAACAATGTGATGGTAAAATTACACAGGGCCTGTCCCCTTCATTGGAAAGCCTTTGTGCCCCTCGTTCTTCGAATCTCTGTGCATTATATGAACTACTATCAGCACCACCATGGATTACCTTCCCATTACATGCTCCCTCTTGGATGCCATTTGCTGTGTTTACTGTTGCACAGCGCCCCCTGGGGTTGTGAAAGCAGCAACATCAGAGCAAAGAGATAGTGAGCACATTGGACCAGGGGCTGTTATAACAACTTGGTGTGTATAAACTTATTTAATTCTCAGTCCAACCAAAGGACCGAGGAAGGTACCTGTGTTAGAGGTTAGCCCCATTGTACAGACAGGAAATGGAGGCACAAAGACTTGCAAGAACGCCCTCAAAATTGTGCACTGTTCTGTCCATCCAGGACGGAGGGAGCTTGAGCCTGGTGGAGGCGCCCACACGGTCAGCCTTTCTTTTTTCTCCCAGAGCCATTGTGATGGAGTTTATTCTTGTCACTGCGCTGCCTGCCATCTTCTTGATTTTGACCTTGCTCGAGTATAGAAGCTTCTAGAACAAGGGTCAGCAAACATTTTGTACTAAAGCTGAAAGTAATTATTTACTTTCTGGGGATCCTACAGCCTTAGCGGAATGACAAGAGTCAATTCTGTCCACATAGAGCAAAAACAGCCATGAGCACTGTGTAAGTGGGTGATTGTGGCTGTGTTCCAAGAAAATCGTATTTATGGCTATCGAAATTTGAATTTCATGTAATTTTATGTGTCGTGAAATATTATACTTTTAATTTTTTTCCTGCCCAGTTAGAAAACATAAAATCTATTCTTAGCTCCCAGGCCATAGAAGCAGCAGTGGATTTGATTAGGCTTGTGGCCTGCAGTTTGCTGACCCCTGTTGCAGAACACAGGGACTTGGGGTTGGGTATTTATTGTCATTTCTGCTTCCACATTGAATGAATTACTAGAGGTAGGCTTTATTAGCTACTCGGGATGACTTGGAGATACTGTTGACTTCTAGGGGATGAATAAACATTCCCCTTCTCAAAGCAAAGGATGGAAAGCCAGTCCTGTGAGAAAGACTGGGAAAAGGGCAGGCAGCAGCCTCTTCACTTAGCCTTCCTTGGGATGTGTAGGAGGGTAAGGAGAGAACGGTCTTTTGCTTTCTACGTGAATTGTAGAGATTTATTCTTCACAAATAGACCTATGAATAGAACGTGATTCATAATGGGAAACAGATTTCTTCCCCCCTCAAGATAAATGGAATGTCCCCACCTCCCAAACTGAGAAGAGAATTGTTTCCTCTTTACAAAGGAAACAAATTGGATTCCCCGAGGAATAATCAGGGATGTTTTTTAAATTGTCATAATAAGCAAGATATGGTTTCATGGATGATGAAAGGAGACTTGCCTTCCCTGAGTCTGGACATGAAGGATGGGTTGGACAATCAGACGGGCCCTTCTCCCTCCATGTCTTGTTCCTGTCCCTTCGCATTTTATCAGTGCCAGATGGCAAAGCGTGACTCCCGCCTCAGCAGGCTTGGTGGGCCTGCCCTGGACCCACGGTCCCACTGTAAAGACATTCTCCTCCTTTCCTGCTCTTCAGTCTACTGAAGGAGGTCGCCTTTCCTCAGCCCAGCTTCTTGACGTCTTCAGTTCATTTTGCTCTAGAGGAGAGGACGCTGCAGCTGGGAGAGTCGTCTGGGCAAAGGCGTGGTGTCTGAGATGAGCCTCGTGGCCGCAGAGGACCTACCTGTTGGATGAGCCATTTGGGTTACGTTTCTAGACAGTTGAGTATTGGACCGAGGCCCTTTATCTCGCAGAAGGTGGAGAACCATGGAGGATTGAAGAACGGGGCCTGTGGACTTGGAGAGGAGTTAGCATGGTTAAATGTGGCTGTACACAGCTGGCAGGTTAGTCCACAAGCAGGTGGTTAGGAAGGGGAACCAACTGCCATCACCTGATTAAAAATCTTACCTTCCTCGTCCTTCACTGGTTGCTGGAGACCTGGAAGGGACCCCCATGCAGTCCTTGTCCTCATGCTCACAGGCTAATAAACTGACGTCTTTAGTTTCCTGAGAACTTAGTGGCAGAGAGCAGGAGCCGAGGCAGAGAGCTGTTCTTTAGAACCATTACTCTGTGGACAGTGCTTCCCGATGTGTCTGAACTGGGGCGAGTGCCTTAACCTCTCTGGACCTTACTTGCCCACAGAATGGCAGAATAGGATCAGATTGTTATGGGATTGTTAGGAGGACTTAGGAAATGAATAGAACTTGATACATTATGAAAACAATACAGAGAAAAACTATCATTAGCCATCATTTTTGTACTTTCTCAGCAGTAGTGGTTCCTGAATTTATTCAAGCCTTTTAAAATTTATCAAATTCTCCCCCCCCAACCCCACATGATCTCATTTGGTTTTCTCACAAGACCTTTGAGGATCGGCAAGGGCTACTAAGCCATTTTGTAGACAACAAGGATGGTTTTCCCAAACCACACAATTAGCATGTTATAAGATGGGCTGTAAGCCTCTAAGCTCCACACTTATCTACTTCTTCCTGACTTCATGCCACCGTCCCTCCGTACACGGATGCAGAGCTGTGCCTAGCTTGTGGATGCCTCTGTAAGTGGCAAGCATTCTCTTTTCTCAAGGAGCTTTGGGTGTCATCGAAAAGCAAGAGCTCTATTCTAGAAAGTAGAGAGACACACATGCAAATGGGAACCATCTTTACCATCTCCAGATAGAGAAGACTGACTAGAAATGGACCAGCCAGGAGACTCACGTAGTGCCATCAAATGACACCCAGAATTTCCTTGTACTGAACCTTCAGAGACCTGCCTCTGATTTCCTGCATGTCACTTGGCAAATTCCCTCCATGTGTGAAACAAGAAAAGAAGCCAGCGTTCTGGTGGATGGTGTTAGCTCCAAGTTGCATCACTCACCCCGCCCCCTTCGCAACAGACCTTAACGTTATTCTGTGATTACTTAGCATCATCCTTCCTAAATGTGCATCAAATTAAGGAGTTATTAGGGCATGGCAGGACATGTTTATGGGGAAGAATTTCCTTTAAAGTCACAGCTCAGCCTGAACTCACTTTATTAGTGTTTATACAAAGCATGTAGCCAGTTCCAGTGCAACCCATGTTTATATTCTTGCAGCAATCATTGCGTTCCTCGGGCTGTCCTGTCCTCTTTTCTTAAAGTGATCGGTGCACCTATGCTACAGGTTCATAACATGTGTGCTGTGTGGCTGGTTAGGAAGGTTTGCCCCATTCCAGAGTACAACCATAACATGTCTCACAAATAGCCGCAGACTTGGAAATGGTCAGAGGCCCAGGTGGACCAAGTGGTGATGCACACTTGTAATTCCAGCATTAAGGAGGCTGAGGCAGGAGGATGACCACAAGTTTGAGGCCAGCCTAATCTACATGGTCTGTTCAAAGACCACCTGGGTGACATAAAAGGACCCTGTCTCAAAAATCAAACAATCACCACAAAACAAAGACATAATGAACATGCTCCTTATGAGTAATTCCTTTGACACTCTGTGGTACCATGAGTATTTGTGGCTCTAGCTAGTAGGCTGATTTTAGTGATTTGCATTAGATAGTCCCAATATTTACTTACCTAACTCGTGATATCCTTGTTAACTTACGAAAGTATTCAACTTGGATAATGAACACAATGCATTTCAAGACATCTTCAAGTATAACTCAATTAAAATGGTTAGTATCAGGGCTAGGAGAGATGGCTTAGCTGCTAAGAGCACTTGCTGTTCTTCCAGAGGACCTGTTCAGTTCTCAGCACCCATGCTTGAGTGACTCATAACCACCTGTAACTCCAGGTCCAGGGCATCTGGCACCCTCTTCTGACCCCCGGGCACCTGCACATATATGGCATCCACTCTCTTTCATATACACATTAGTAAAAAATAATAAAAACAAATCTTTAAAACATTAGAAAAACAGTTATATGTAAGAGCTCAAGTTCAGGTGACTCCACCATTCAGCACACTTTTGATGCTGTTTGTTTGTGTGTTGTATATCCTTTTATGTGCCAGATGTTGTGCTGATCCTTGGGGATTGAGGTATAACCAAAGTATGGTCCTGATCCTGAGGGGGTGGAATTTATTAGTTCAGCTAAAATGATGGGATATTACTAAAATTTCCTGAACAGACTCTTAGTTCGTGTGTAACCCTTCAGGACTTCATGCTTCAGTGGCTTAGTTTTTAGGCATCTGGTACCCTGACCACCTGGATATCAATGCTGCTATATTACTTGCCTGCTTGTGACCCTAGACAAGTGCTCTCAGATCCCTGCACCCCCACTTGTTTACTCATAAAATGGGACAACCTTATTGACTTCCTAAGTTGGAAAGTCAGTCAGTACACATTGTCTCTTCCATAATAATTACCCTGTTAGCAGAAATTTACTTAGGTCCCCATATAGCTGGCTGCAGAATTGGTACTTCTGTTGACTGGAGTTATATAGTCTTTGAAAGATAAAATCTTGTTGAAGAGAATAGTGGAGTCCAAAGCCAATTAATTGTTATATATTGTGACCTTGGCGGCTCAATCATTTAATCTTTTTTTTTTTTCTAAGATGGGGGAAAAACTTTTTCAAATTTTTATCATGAGCTAGAGAGGAAGGAAAATCATGGATACCCAAGTCTTCAGCCCATCTTTGCTCTGTTGGCGTCCTGCCAGGTCTATTAGTCAGCATAGACTAAGCTCTGCTGCAGGAACAAATAATCCCAAATGTATCGGCATTAGAATGGGAGACTAATCCTGCTGTTTCCTGTTATCACAGTGTAGTACACTTGGTCTAGGCATTTCTGGGGGTGTGGCTCATGCTCCAGCAGTCACTCAGGATCCCAGGTCCCCTCTATCTTGGGAAACCACCATTTTGACACATGGTCTCTGCATGACAGGATGAGAAGTTCAAGGGGAAGACAGGGTAATGCTGTTCAGGGTGTTTTATGGCCTTGCTTGGAAGCAGCTTATATTGCTTCCATTCACATTCTTTTAATCAGTCAGATGGTCTCACTTAGAGGCAAAGGGGTGTGGGAAGTTTCATCTTGTGGATTGCTGAGGGGGTAATGAAGCAGTTAGGGAACGTATAGCGGTGTCTGCCTGAGCGAGCTCTTTTTTTTTTTTTTTTTTTTGCCAGTTTTCCAAAGGCAGACTCCAAATATTTATGTGATTTGGGGTTGTCACTTCCCATCACTGGAAGAGCCATTTTGTCACGAGCTCCCACAAGCAGTGTTGGGATAGGTTTTGAGAAAAGACCTTCTGGGGAGACTTTGGAAGGGCCTGAGACTTCTGGGCACGACAAAGGGACATACCAAGTGAGCCCTTTGGGCCGATGGTCATCAGCCCCTCCAGATGAGTGCTCAGAAAAGAGGCAGTTGCCTTAGCCATCGTTGTCATGGGGAGGGAGATCTCCTCTCTCTCTCTCTCTCTCTCTCTCTCTCTCTCTCTCTCTCTCTTTCTCTCTCTCCAGGCTGTGCCTGGGATGGATCAGGGAGGGTGACACATCAGGGCTGTAGGTTAGATGAGGTGTCTCTTCAGTGTTACTGAGGTGCCAAGGAAGGTCTTATCGTCACCTTCTAACTTTTACATGTGCTCACATTTTGTCTGGAGAGGTCTGAGTCCCACAAGTTGTCCTCTGTGGTCCTCTGTGGACTTCCACACGCACACACACACACACACACACACACACACACACACACACACCCAGCTTAAAAACAAGAGATAATTAGACAACAGAAGTTTCTGAATGAGTAGGCGAAGTAACTTGCCTGAAACCACATCGCCATTTGGTAAGATTGGAGTTCCAGGGCATGCTTGCTGTGAGAGCTCAAACTCGTATACCTGTAAGAACAAAGTACATAACCCAAGTGAGGAGTGTACATCAGGAGGCTGATGTGCTGTTGGTTTTTGACAGTTTGGCACAACTTGAGTCACTTGGGAAGAGGGAACCTCGATTGGGAAATTGTCTCCATCAGATTTGCCTGAGGGCATGTCTGTGGGGCATTCATCGATATAGTAGGGTTCATTCCACCCTGGGCCTTGTGATCCCTAGGCAGGTGGGCCTGGGCTGTATAAGGGAAGTAGCTGAACAAGCCAGTAAGTAGTGTCCTCTGTGGTCCCTACCCTGACCTCCCTCAACACTAGACTCCGATCTGGAAGTCTAAGCCAAACAAACCTTTTTTTCTCCCCAAGTTGTTTCTGTCACGGTCTTTTGGGTATTTTGTCAAAGCACCAGTAAGAAAATAGGACAGCCGGTACATTTCAAGCACTCACCCTTTTCATTGTGTCTCTTTGTACCGGCTTGTGGTGGCCACCAAGGTCCGGAGTTATCTGATTGTCTGATTTTGCAGGGGTAGTAGCGGGAAGACAGACCAGACAGTTCCAGAATTGTCCAAAATGTCGAAAATTGACAGTTAATTTGCACACGTGAAAATCACAAAGAGACCTAGACAAAACAGGTCTGTAGGTCAGAATTCACTCGGGGGCTGGAGTCTGCAGCTTCTCCTTCTGGTCCTCAGCAACGCGATTGCTGTTATCCGCACGTGTTTTTGTCCTGGAGCAGGAAGCTGTAGCGTCAGGGAGTGAGTGCTGCTGCTGTAGGGAAGGAGAGCAGAGCCCCTTGCCTGCCCCATCGCCCTGCAGAGCCTCCCTGTGACCCCAGCCAGCCGCCCCGCTCACCCCTTCTGTTTGGCTGCTTCTCCCCGCTGCAGGTAGCTGTGTGCGCAGGGTTGGCCGCAGGCTTCTGCAGGTGGAAAATTAGATATGCTAGCGCGCTGCCAAGTCAGAAATGTAGCCCAGGGAGGCTCAGTTCCCCAACAACTGTGGTCGTGTGAAGCCAGTTTTTTTTAAATCAGATTCAGCCATCTCTTTCCTGAATGCGTGTGTATGTTTTTAAACTTGGGTTTGGTTATGTAAGTGACGAGAATGAAGTGCAGAATTCAGAGAACACTTGAACAATGCCTCCTGGTGGGTGTCTGGGGAGCGAGTGTGAGAGAAGAACTCTGTGCGGGATCCACGGGGAAGCACAGCTGCCTCGGACCTGGTGGGATGGGAATGGGATGGTTCTGGAACACGGGCTGGCTCTTCTCTGTCATCAGGGTAGGCGAGTGGATGGCACGAAGCCCTTGGGCTGGGAGATGAAACAAGACAGAGTGACACACACTGGCGCAGGACAAGTGGACTGGCGCCCGAGAACCGCCGCTGTGCTCCTCACACGTCTTGGGCAGATGGCCCAGTTTGCATCTCGAAAGGCTTCTTTAGCTAGGGAGGGCTAGGTAGGGTCTTAGGTTGGGTGAATCACTTGTGTTGATAAGTTGGGGGGGGGCATGGGAAATTTTCTCTATCAGGGAGAGTTGCCTGTGACCATGTCTGTGGGACACAATAAATTCACGAGAATAAAGGTGGGGCACAAATCATCTTCCCCAATGCCTTCTTAAGATGACTAAGACAATTTGCTCTTTTCTGAGCATTAATCTTGAGGACCAGCCCACATATGTCATACATAATTGCCACAGAAAACACTAAAATACTAAGAAGCAAAATATGAAATACGTTTTTTTTTTTTTAAATAGATCATCACCACCACCAAAATATCCTTTGCCTCATGCCCCTGAGATGACACGTGTGGTCCACATTTCCCCGAGTGTTCTCAAGGGGCCTTACTTCATCCAAGGTGTCCAGGACGAAGTGTGGGGAGTATCCTCTTTGGTCCTTCGGGAGCCGAGTCAGGCACACAGGAAGCAGGCAGCAGCACATGAGGTGGGAAGAAACGTGAGGAAAGACCAGAATGAGTTGTGCAGAGGCTGAGCCATCCAGGAGTTCAGGAGTTCAGAGATGAAGAAGTGTGGCAAACTAGGGGGGCGTGCTAAAAATCCAGAGTTTCGGTTTTATGGAGCTGTTGAGACAAACACCTGGGTGCCTGAAAACCAAACATTTCTGCTTTCAGTTTGTGGAAAACAGAAATTGGAATTGAGGGTGCGGGGGGCGGGGGTGCATCCCTGAGACTCTATCTGCTTCTTCCTGGCTTTGGGCAGGGCTTGGCAGTCCTTGGTGCTCTGTGTCTGGTGGCTGCACGGTTGTCTTCTCTGTGTCTGCCTTCATGCGGCGTCATCCCTGTGTCTCTGCTCCTTCGTATTTTAAGGACAATAATCACACTGGCTTAGTTCATCCCGATGAACTCACTTGAATCTAATTGCATCTATGAAGAGTCTGCTTCAAATACGATCGCATTCGCATTAGCAGGAGGTCAAGGCTTCAACGTAGATTTGTGGGTGCATAATTCTACTCATAACACAGCAATGCGGTTGGGGTGAGAGGACAGGAGGGCTTTTGAGACCAGGAAGTAACAGAAACATGTATGTGGGCAGAGTGCCTAGTTAGGCATGGTGACGGGATCTAGTGAGTTCCTAGTAATTGCCTGCAGGTTGGAGGAAGGAAGAATCCAGTGAGGTGGACTATGGACGGGGATGAGACCCACCTGGCTGAAGTGCTGTTGAGCTGTTGATACTAAGCACACGTCTGTGGGAAGTTACTTGGGTTGTGGGGTTGTATGGTTGCTCTGAGGGAAGATGGCTTATGGCTGCTGACTCAGTCACTTCCCTGTTGACCCCTTTTGTGGTTCTGATCATGCAAGGCCTCGATCAGCCCACGGGATGCTGTCTGCCCTTTCCTTCTGTCCGGCTCTTTCTGCTTCCGTCATCCCTCAGGGTCTGTTTGTTTATATTCCTCCACTTGGAATCTTTTCCCTTCAGTCTCTCCTCTCCTCAGCTGGCTCCCTTTCCTCTGGTCTCAGACATCCTATCTCTGTTCCGGAGAGGTCCCCATGCCTTCCCCGGACAAGGCAGAACCTCCACTTCCTTGTACCCCACCTTTATTCTCCACGCCACCTCAGAAGCTATTGTCTGGTTATTTACTTACCATAATCCCTAGTCCTGATGCTTGTTTATGGTCTCCGGTGGCTTTCGCCTCCGCTTGCTGCCTAACAATCTTTTACCACAAAGGTGGCAGCTTCAAACAGTACATACTAGTTAACTCAGAGTCGTCTGGGCCTCTGCTGCAGCGTCTAACGGGGCCCCAGTCATGTTGCTCGAGGCTGTGGGCTCGTTGCATGGGCTCCTTGTTGGAGGATGGCACCCTTGGAGGTCTGATAGACTGAAGGCTTCAGGTGGTTTTTAGCTGTCGTTGGTTCTCATGCCCAGCTGCATGATGTCCGGGCTGACCTGTGTCCTTGCCATATAGACTTCCCTAGTCTTGCTTCGTCACAGCTGGAAAGAGCCCCCGAGCAAGATGTGCACAAAATGGCATAAAATATGTCCAAAGAACATCCTATGGCCTTCCCTATGTTGCACTGGTCGGAAGCAAGTCGCTAGGTCCTGCCCACCAGGGAGAAGGGAAGGTGGTGACCTGAGCCACCAGCTTTGGAGCTGTCTTCCGGACTCACCAAGAGAATTCAAGTTTCTTTAAAGGGAATTTGTTGTTCCGTCTTCTCTCCTGAGCCACGATGTAGCGTCGGCTTCAGAGTAGGGATTGATAAAGATTTGTTGTAGGAAGGGAAGAAGGGAGCAAGGGAGGAGACGGTCAAGGGAGAGGGAGTTGGGGAGGGAAGGATGGAGGAAGGAAGGAGAGGTTGGGAGAGGAAGATACGCTCTCTTTTGCATCCTGCTTGAAGAATCAAAAAAAAAAATAAAGTCTGCTTGCATTCACCCTACGGCAGTGCCTCTGGGCTTTCAGATTTGCTGTTTCTTCTTTCTAAATCCTTTTATTCTTTCTCACGTATCCCCATGCCAACCTGGCTATGCCCAGCTCAGTTTTGAGGTCTCAGTTAAAATGCCACCTTTCCCCGGAATCCTCGCCTCTACCTACAGGGCCACCACCCTCCCATCATACTCCCATTATTAGGCTTTGTTTATGCCTCTGGCACAGTAGGGAACAGGGGTCTATAAGCTATGGTCCCAGGGACAACTCGGCCTCTTTGTCCTATTTTTCTTAATAAAGTTTTATTTGCATATAGCCATACCTTGCCCCCTCCTCAGTCATTGAAGTCTGTGGCAGTTTTCACACTGCTGGACAGAGCTGAATAGTTGTGATCGAAGATATGATTCCCAGGGGCTGGAGAGATGTCTCAGCAGTTAAAAACATTGGCTGCTCCACCAGAGGACCAGGATTTGATTCTCATCATCCAGGCGGCAGCTCACAACCATCTGTAACTCCAGTCCCAGGGCGTCCAATGTCCTCTTCTGGCCTTAGCCATCACCAGGCAGGCATGTAGTGCTCAGGCATGTATGCTGTCAAAACATCCGTATGCATACAAAATGACAGACAGACAGACGGGGGTGGGGGGAGAAAGAGAGAGCGAGCGAGCACAAGCATGACAGATGAAATCCAAAAGCATTTGTTATCTGGCCCTTCTAAGATAAGTGTATGAATTTGTGGCCTAGACTTTACCACACTTTATGGCAATTGCTCCTTTAATTGTTCCCCTGAACTGCTCTCTTTAAGGACAAGGCCCACGCCACGGTTATTTCCTAGCATATGTTATAGCCCAGCAGCTTAGTGGGGAAGAGCTGTTTGTTGAATGAATACATCAACTGAATACATAAGGGAATGAGTGCGTGAATGGTATATCAGGAAGAAACAGAAACCAGATGGAAAACCCAGCTGAGAGTTAGCCCTGGAAGATGTATTTACATGTGAACGGATTCAGGGTAGAGGTGTAGTTCAGGGAACCACAGAGGCACTTGTGGAACGCAGGATATAAAACAGTAGAGGGGTTTTCATCGCTCAGGCGGAAGAAGGGAGAGCAAGTATTCAGGAGGCTGACATGGGCACGGTTCCTAGAAGGAGCTGTGACCTTTGGCAGGAAAGTGTGCTGACCTGGCTGAGCTCTCAGGGAAAGCCCCAGGAGAATGGCTTCCTTGTCTGCTCTCTGCCGCTGCTTCCCATCTCCACCCACCTCACTGGGAGGTGGAAGAGCTCCCAGGACAGCCCAGTGTGACCCACTGGGTCACCTCCCTGGATGGCAAGGGTTGGAGCAGGTGACTGACAGCCAGGCCAAGGCCCTTTGCCGCCTTCTGCCTTGATTGGAAATTGGGTCTATGCTACACCTTGATCCTGACTCCTTTTATTCAGTTTCTGGACAGGAGTCCCAAGTCCATGCTATCAGACCTTGTGTTGTATTGATTGCTCCAACATGTGAAGCCTTTAAGAGCTTCCTGCCTGGCCCGAGTCCTTCCTGTCTTGGTAGTCCCACCCCTCCCCCTCCCTTGCCCTCGCCTTGGAAAGGTTTTCCCTCAGTTTCTTCTCTACATGTCGTTGCTCTTGGCACCTGTCACTCTCTGCCCGTCCACCGTGGACTGTAGACCCATCTCTCAACATTTCATTTTGCATATTTTCCGAGTATCTTACGATTTAGTTGGTCTTCGCTCTCTCTCTGCCCCACTCACTGTGGAATGTAGACGCCCATCTCTCAACATTTCATTTTGCACATTTTCCAAGTATCATATGACTTCGTTTGTTTCAGCTAGACTCCAAGATGTTGAGAACAAGGGCCAAGCTATATTCTGTATTTTTAAAAATCAACTTGGTTATAGATCCCAGAATATATCCATTATGGATCTGAAAACTGACGGGGCCCTCCAGCCTTCTACATTCACAGTACCCTATAGACTTCATTCCCATATGAGTTCACTTCCGGTCTCGGCTTGGGTAGCCTGTGCAACATCTTTGTTGTGTGAGCTGTCTCCTTCAGCTCTTACATGGAGACTCTGCCTTCCCTTCTGAGGCGCAGAAGGCAGTTCTTTGTAGAGTTGTGCAAGGAGCGGGCGGATTTGAAAATCCAGTCTGAACTTGTGGTATGTTCTCTGTGTGCAAGTGCTTCTGACCTCTGATGATGTAAGTTACATCTCACTGTACCGAAGGTCAGAAATGGCTTAACTCACCTACCCTCTGAACAGCCAAGCTTAACCAGTCTACTTTCAACGTACTCAGACTTACACCAGCCCAAAGTTGGCAAAAATCATCTAACCCAGAATCAGTTTTAAAACAAGCTGTTGAGTACCTCATCTAATGTGTTAAACCAGAATGATTGTCTAAGTATTGTCATACAGTGGGGACATTGTAATCTGAACCGCTGTGAGGTGGGGGCCATTTGTGTGCTTCTCCATCCCAGACAAACGGCTCTCAGCTGCATCCCAACCTACAGCACCACGTCCTCTCCCTACCAGTCGCCCGAGCTGTTCCATGGGTTCTTTGGAGACCACGTCCTCACATGCTTTCTGTCTTGAGCCTCTTAGTAACTCTGTAGAGATGACAGTTGGGTTCAGATCTTAGGAGTGTCATAGCAGCCATTGTTATATCTGGGTCTGAGTGAAGTTGTGTCTTTGCCAACGCCACCCAGCCGGAGAGTGAGGAAGCTGGGATTCAAACCCACATCCTCTAGCTTTTCCTCGGATGTCTCTTTTCTCCATGCTGTGCTGTTTCACTGGGGGTAGATCTTACACTTCCCTCTTTCCAGATGTGCTATGACTCAAGAAAGATCTGTAGGAATGCTGCAGAGGAAAGGAGGAAAGGGGTATATGTGTGCATGTGCCAAGACAGAGACCAGAGCCTGGCCCAGACGATGTTATTTTTGTTTCCTTTTTTTCCCCAGTGTTGCTCTGAATTCCTCTTCCTCCCCACTCCACCCAAGGTGTCAAACAGATGTGAAAATACCACAGAACTCAAGCCTCAACCCTGGTTTATGATTCATTCGTTGGGATGGGGAAAAACAGTGCAGGAGATTGCTATGGTGATGCCTGTTTACAGAGGCAGCATGGGAGACATCGGTCGTGGGCAGAGATTAGAGAGCATCCTTGGGCTTGCAGAGAGACTCAGCATTCCCGCTGCCCAGCCCCAGAGGGGAGACAAGGCAGAAGCTACTAATTTGGCTGGAGCTGGGACAGCCAAGCCACTAGGTGTATTCTTTTTGTTTTTATCAAAGAGATGAGAAATTATGTTTTCTTATTCTGTTGGTTTATGTATTTTCTGCCCTCTCATCCAGTAAATACATTTACACATGGCAAAAATGCTCAGACTCGTGGTAGATGGGCATCAGGATTCAATGGCTAAAAATGACCTGGTCTATTGGGTCATTGTTATAGAGCTGGGGAGGTGGGCCATTGGGAAAAGTGCTTGCTGTACAGACATGAGGACCTGGGTCGTGACCCCCAGAACTCATGCAGAAATCCAGGCACCATGGTGTTTGTCTGTAGTCCCGGGACCCAGAAGGGGAGACAGAGGATTCTGAGTGCTCCCGGGTAAGGCAGGCTGACCAATTGGTGAGCTCCAGACTCTGCCACAAAAACCAAAATAAGGCAGAGGACAAAGGAAGGCACGGCATTGACTTCTGCCTCCATAGGCACATTTGTGGGCGTATGTCCTTGTGTGCGAACACACATGTGTGCGCACACACACTCCTGCACACACCTGGCCTCTGCATTCAGGCAATCTGGGTTCTCATCCTATTTTTTTGCTTACTGGCATGTGACCTTATGGCCAAGTTTCTTTCTGGGTAAAACTCTTCTGAAGAGCAGAGGAGGAGACTAAGTCTCCTTGTGTGAAAAGTAAGATAATAAACAATGGCTGATGGATTCAAGATGTACACGAAGTGCTTAGCAAAGTGCTTGGTGCATAGTGTGGTCTCAGCAGAGAACGGTTCTTCGGGAGGTTCACCTACAGACATTCATCTGTTGATGGAAACAATAATACCCATTGTTCAGACCTGTTAGAAAGACAAGAGGAAAACCATGAAGGAGAGAAAGTGAAGACATTGCACTTGACAGTACAGACTGCTGTGACAAATAGCCCCTGGATTTGGGTGGCTCTGAAGCTGTTTCTGGAACCTGTCTGAGTCTGATGTGTACAAATCAGGAGGCAAGGCAGTCACCCAGGGACTTGGGCTCAGACCACTCGCCACCTTGGGCGTCCTCCACTATTTTCTGAATCCAGCCAAGAAACAGGCCAAGGAGGGGCGTGGAGCAGTGGGCAGGGAGTTTTATGGCGCTGCCCCGAAGGCAGCGTGTATTATTTTGGCCCATTGTGCAGCGCTATGAACTTGGTCACATGGTCACACTCAAGGAAATCGTGGAACTGCAGTCTGTGCATTCACAAAAGTGCTTTGATGGACAGTTGACTAGCTTGCCAGTGTTCCATAAATGGAGTAATGTAATGCCATAGTGATTTCCATGCTTCCGTAAATTCCACCTGGATGGGCGCACATCCTTGGTTAAGCAGTCCACTGGGCTGAGGATGAGAGCAGGCCATGTCTTACCTCATCTCCAAAAGACATAAAGGCCTTCTTTCTGAGCCATTCTTGACTATAATAACAAGACTGAGGGTCTCAAAGAAGCAGCCATGGCATCACCTTTGCCATGGAGAGCCATGGGAATGGATTCCACTCCTGGTGGTGAGTTAAACATTCAGTAGGTGTCTTTTTCTTCCTCTTTGTCCCACACCTTTAATATTATGAAATAGATTACCCCAAAGTTAATGGATTAAGACACAATGCCTGGGAAATGGGGTACCTGGTTTCCTTGGGTGAACTAAAATTTCATGGTGCATGTAGGTAGGGGAATGTACTTCAACTAGTTAGAGTAATCCCAAAGGCTGAGACTGAGAATTTAGTAAGTGGTGGGTAAGTACCATGAGTATAGCATCTCATTTAACCTTCAAAAAAAAGCTCTTGAGGTCGGGCGTGCCATTTCTGATCCTTAGTCACGAGGCCACTCAGGAGGTGGTTGGGCTAGGAATTCAGTTCCAGGACTGTGTGTGATGACCCCCGTGGTATATTCCACGCTGCCATGTCCTCGGTGCCTCGGTGGCCCGCTGCATCCCTTCTCCTAATGAATATTAATTGAAAATATCAGTGCAGCAGCTGGCAGCAGGAGCTGCTGCAGCCCCACGCTGTGTCCTGGTAATTAAACCCCTGGCTGCTTTGTCGTATTCCCAGTCGTCAAGGTCCCCACACATCTCTCCAGCTTCTGGAGGGAGTGGAGAAGAGTGCTCACGATGCTGGCGAGGTTGCCGGACGCCGGCTCTCTCTCCACCGGTGTGTGATGCTAGCATCGCGGTCCTTCTGCGTTCTCAGCGTGCCTTGGTCCCTTCCTTCACCGACAACCTGCATAGGTAGTGAAGGTGAGATGGGGTGGTCCTCCATCATAAACTAAGAAATAGTTCGGATGGCTGGTCTAGGAGAGGGGAGATGGAAGAAAGGGAGGTGGGGCCTAGGGGAGGTTACCCAAGGACATGTTTGATTTTCATCTTACTGTGATTTCTGCTATCAGGAGAGTTATTTCTCCTCAGACATGATTGTTCCTCACACAAAGTACAAACACTGGAAACGGCTCTCCTCTTCGTCTCCCGGGACAGTTCTCAACCTGTGGGTCGCAACCCCCTTGGGGGTCATGTATCAGATAGCCTGCATATCAGATATTTACATTATGATTCGTAACGGTAGCAAAATTACAGTTAGGAAGCGGCAACAGAATAATTTTATGGTTGGGGGATGGTCACCACAACACAAGGAGGTGCATTAAAGAGTTGCAGTCTTAGGAAAGTGAGAACCATTGCTCTACTGCAAGCCTGTAACTCACAGGTCTTCCTGGAGACCTGTTGCAGGACAGGCGACTCTTGGTAATCCAGGTAGCCTAACCTGATGCTTTGGCTAACAACAGACACATAATAGCAGTGTTGCCAGAAGATTTACCACTGTGTGACGTCCGAGCTGGTAAATCTGTGTGTGTGTGAACGCTGATGTTTGTATCATGAAAGCAAGGCAACCACACTTTTTTCGAAGCAGATTCTGTGCATTGAGTGATTTGTGACAGTATATAAATGGTCAGTTTACAGACATCCTATAGAAACTACATGGGCCCAAACCCTGAATATTTTCTTCTCATCAGGAGGGCGCAGTATGTAGGAATTCATCCTTCAGCTTCCAGTGTTATGAATTATAACGTTATTTATGGTCTTCCCCTCCATTTTTTTTTTCATCTAGGGCTCGTAGATGATTTTAGGGAATACAGAATATTTATCCAGTTGTTCACAGGTTTGTTCTTAACTTGACTTCCCCTTTAACCTTGGTTTCCTGCCGCCCACAGTGCCTCCTTCACCTTTACCCCAGTAACTGCCCCCCAGCTTTCAGCTCCCCCATGACAAATGCTCCTAAGCTTCCAAGTTGAGGCCGGAATCATCCAGGCAGCTGCCTTTGCCTACTGTGTGGAATTAGCTTTTACCCCATGCTATGCACAGGCTCGACTGTGTTGGCACCTGTTAGAAACTAAACTCGGGAAATTTACGAACTAGTTAGAAACTAGACAAGTTTTGTTTTGTCTATTAGACAAGGTTGTGTTGTCTATTTATATCTACCTAGCTATGTACCAAAGCCAGTGAACATTCTTCTGGTTTCAAGGAATAGAAGAAGTAGAGTGGTTCTTTTCATCTTCTGGGTCTGGAACACCGTCCTTTAGTGGAGGCAAGATGGCTTCTGGGAACTCTGAACTGATTTAAACCCAAATGAAAATAAAATGGGATAGATTGCCTCACAAAATGCTAAAATACAGAAGTACCTGGGTTCAGGCACGAGCAGATCCAAACACTTAACAGGACAGCATGAAGAATGTCTTTTTTTGTCTTGTGAGTCTGGAACTCAGTGATGGCAAGATGGCTTCTGGGAACTCTGGGTTGCTCTGCTACCCACTAGATAGAAAGTTATTCTTTGAATCATGCATGCATTCTTGAGACAATGAAAGGGATTGAAGGTACTTAAAAGCGTGGTCTGGGTCAGCTGCTCCTCCCTGGAACCCCTGGAATCTTGAGGAGGCCTCAGCTTTACTTGTGAAAGTTAATCTGAAAATTGGGGGGACTGGGGACACTGAGAGATAGTTTGTTACTTGAATAAGGGACCACAGAAGACAGGCAGTTAAGTGTAACTGAGCTCTGCTACATACATAATGAATGGCTTATTCCATACAATTTCCTTAAGGTTAGTTGGGCATGCTCAAGGGATATCATTAATCATTGGAATTGCCTTCCCCCTGACAGGCAACGTCCCCCCAGTCTAAGCCAGTCTGCCTTGAATAGACTGTAAGTGTAACCTGCAAAAATCTGACCTGAATTTTCTTTCCATTGCAGTGACCTGGACAGAAATAACATCACCAGGATCACCAAGATGGACTTCGCTGGACTGAAGAATCTCCGAGTCTTGTAAGTAGCAGATGGGGTGCCAACGAGTTTTCATTTGCAGCTAGCTCTTCAGCCTGTGAAAATGTCGCACTGCCCTGACATCACATTCCCGAGCTCTGGGCCACAGGAATCCATGCTTCTGCTGCAGAAAGCCCTTCATTACTGTGCCAAGTGTTCACAGATATCAAATTGTATGGCTGGATGCTGCTGGCTGGGCGAGATCGATAGAAGAGCCGGGTGCCAGTGACAGGAAAAACAGAAGGCAATAAATGAATTAAGTCAACATGCCCTGCTTCCTGGATGACAGCAATGTCAGGTGGACTAACCATGCTTCGCCTCCATAGAGATTATAATTTCTTCCCCAGCTTGCGTATTAAGAGAGCAATTGCGACAGATGCTATTTTTCTTCCTGCTTAATGGAGAGGAGGGGAGGAGAGATGGAGAGGGCCAGGCAAGGGCAGAATCCTTGCTGACCATTCACAGCTGTGCAGACAGGTTACAGAATGTGAGGTAGGCATTGATGGAACAGGGGGACAAGAAACAGCGGGTCTCCTTTCTGAAGAGTGGAGAGTTTTGCCTTAACCCTAGGTTTATGTTTGGTAAGAAGAGGCCTATGAACTGCTGACTGAAAAGTCTGACATTCAGGAAAACGACAGTGGAGCAGTCGGGTTCTCTATCTTCCCTTCCTTCTTTATTGTTGATTCTTACCCACAGTGTGGCTCCTGCCCAGGAGTTCAGCCTGGGAAGTTTGATCCCCAGCTCTGATGTTATTTGTGTCATGGAATCTTGGCTGGCTCATCTTTATCGGCAGTTACGGCTAACTCATTGCTACCAGATTCCACCTCCCTTAACACATACTTTTTAAAGATTTATTTCATTTTATGTGTATGAGTGCTTTGCTTGCATGTATGTGTGTGCACCATATGTGTGCCTGGTGCCCTCAGAGATCAGAAGAGGGCATCAGATCCCCCCTGGAACTTGAGTTACAGATGGTTGTGAGCTGCCCTGTTGGTGCTGGGAATTGAACCGAGGTCTTCTACAAGAGCAACAAGTACTCTGAACTCCTGAGCCATCTCTCCAGCCTCCCACATCCCTGTTTCTACTCACAGCTCTACAGAACAGGATGATTTTTATCCTTGGGACAAGAAGCGTCAGATTCTGATTTGATTTGGGATTAATTGCTCATGCAACTTTGGGGAAATCCCTGTACCCGCTTGGATCTCAGCTTTCCCTTTGGCAGCACAGGGAGTGAATACTTCAAAGTCCTCTCAACTCTAGTTATTCATGGAGTGCATCGGGGCTTTGACGTTTTCTCGAGCAGCATTTGATTACTGCCTGTCACTTGTGTAATGCTGATTTCTTGCTTGAGACATGTTAGTAATAATGCTAATACTGGTGGCGACCAACATTTCCTTGGTTGCCTCCCGTGGACCTGGTGCAGAGTCATGTAACAGAACATATGAGGTTGGCATTATTATGGCCCCCTTTTTTTGCTGGAGAGGAAACGGCACTGGATTAAGAAATCTCAGCTCCACATAGTGAGGAACAGAGGAGTACTTCAGTGCTCACACTGGAGGAGGGTGGGGAGGAGGAGGGAGAGGGAAGGAAGTGCAACTCCAGTACATGGGTTCTTGCAGAGGGAGAGGGGAAGGATATGAGCTCTGGTGTGCAGAGTGTTACCTGAGGGTTCCTCCCTCTGGGCCAGTGCACAGGGATGCAGGAATCTGATGCTGCATCCTCCAGCTACCAGATGCTCCCTCCATAGATGCATTCTTTCCTCTTTGGTGATAAACACCCTTCTCTCATTCTGAGAGTGAAGACCTACCTTGTGCTAAGTAAGCCTTTCCTGTGCTCTGAGCACCTGTATGTATAAGTGAGTAACTGCTCTGATAAGGTCAACACCCATCAGAAGGGACGTGGGCAGAAGTATGAGGGGATCCCTTGGTTCAATTTTAGGGTACTTTATATTAAAAAGAAAGGCAGGAGACTGCTGCTTCTAGGTCATTTGCTGATTTAAAAGCCAAAACTGTGTTTAGGCTTTTGCTTTGCATCTTTTTGCCCCCATTTCCTCCACTTGTGTCTGTACGAGATGTTTTTTCCCCGTACAAGTCAAAATTCACCTAATGCTTCATTTTCTAACCAAGTCAAAAATAACGCTTTGATTTTCTTACTGCTGCATCAGAGAGACTAATAAAAATTCCAATTTCCATATCTGCTCTCTGCAAATAGAAAGTTTAAAATAATCACAAAAGATGACATTAATGTCTTCTGCGTAGCCTGCAACACTCCTTAGACTACAGTTTATCTTTTGAGTTAATTGGTGCATTCTTCTGTTTTGATAGGCAGTACCAAAATGCCTTTTACCTCTTCTTTATCGACTGTTAATAGATCTGTTTCATTATCTCCCTTATCAGCTCACAGACAGTCCCTTTCAAGTGGCCCTTTAATTTGATGAAAGAAACCTGCTAGGTGGAATAGCTGAGACGCCTTCTCACACCAATAAAATATCCAAACATTTTAATAGTATTTTCCCCCATCTAGTCTTCTCAGCTGAGTAACCTAGAGAACTCTTTTTTATTCTCTTTTGAAAAGCTTTCATCACATCCTGGCATATTCCCCATGCCTGTTTCTTATTTACAATTTATGGGGAAGCAATAAAAGACTCGATAGACTTGAATAATTTGAGCTTGCCCCCCATTTCCATGCAGAATGCCTTCTATCTGCTAATATGGTGCAGGTGAATGGGTAAACACAGAACAGAGGCTGGCACACTTCCGTCTCATCCCAGGGCCATTTTCCCTAAACGAAGCAGAGATGTAGGAGTTGCCTGCGACAGTCATCTCTCCCACAGGTTGGGAGCAGGGAAAAATCTCTTCTGTTGGTATCAATTATATCCTTTTTCTTAGTAATCCATTTAAGGACTCACTGTGTTCACAATGTGGGAGCCAGCTTTATCCAAAATGGGGTTAATAAAAGAGTTAAACTCCGCCTCGGCCGTCATCACATGAGGGCCATTTCCGATTCTAATCTAGTGAAGAAAAAAAAAGAAAAAGAAGAGCCAAAGAACTGAAAATGAACACAGTCTGTGTCCCCCTAACTCAGAACAGACACCAGCCTTAGGCAGCCCTTGTGGGAACCTAAAACCTAGCCTGACCTTGATCCCACGTCCTCCTGCATCTGGCCAGTGGGCTAGGACGGAATCAACAGCGTTCTTCCATGCCCTTAGCTTGCAGAACTGCTTGAAGTCCCCGGACAGGTTCTGTGGCTCACTTACCCATTGCCAGATGCTTTTATTTGTCAAGTAGTGTTTACCGAGCCTTTAAACGCCAGACACGAGGCTGGACTTCGATGGGTTTAGGAAGTCGATCTGAAAAGGATCCCGGATACCTTTCCAACAGGAACCAAAGGATGCTGCAGGGGGCAGGCGAGGAGAGCTAACATTGACAGAGGTGTGGGTGGGTGAGAGACTCCAGGAAGAGGTGATACAGGTCCTCAGGGTAGTGAGGACAGAGCCATGGCTGCCTAGAAGCCTTGGGGAGCAGCGGGGGAACTGGATCTTAGAGCCCGACAGAAGCCACTGTAGTCTTCAGGAGGGGGACACAGTCACCCTGGAGTGGTTGGGTCAGGAGGTAGAAGGGTAAATCTCCCAGCCCCACCGCCCTTTCACTGTTCCCGGCTCCTGCTAGGAAAACCCAGTGGCTGAAACCAATGGTGAGTAGAGGCTGAGAAGCCCTTTGGAAAGGCCAGCTTCCCAGGGCCTGGGCAAGGTAGAGTAGGGGCAGCAAGCTCACATGCATGTGTTCGCACGTCTCCGTTTCCTGAAAGAGACTAGCGGTGGTAGTGTAATGAATACAAAAGTAAACTCCGCCCTAGGAGGTCCGAGTTAAGCGCCTCCAAACATCTGGAGGTTAACACTCAGCCGCTTCGGAGTTAGGCCTTGTTCTAATCGGAGGACAGCGAGCGCTGGTTGATTGATTGATTGATTGATTGATTAAAAAGTCTGGCTGAGCAACTCCCCTAGTCGCTAGTATTGAACTGACACCCTGTTTGGTAAATGAGCTAATAAACGTCGGTTGGCTTCCCGAGGCTTCCTGGCCATATGGCAGGAGGGAGATGAGGAGGGAAGGGGAAGGGAAGGGAGGACCATTTATTAAAATGCAGATTATTACTTCAGACACTGGGCTTGATGATTTATTTACTCTATTTTTATTCTTATAAGTGCTTCTGTGATATCGTCTTTTCTGTATTTTACAAATGAGGAAATCGAGTCTTAAAGATGAGGACTAGTTTGTTCAATACAGCACCACCATCTAGTTAAGAGGTGGGGCAGAGAGGGCCCTGGGGGCTGGAAAGTTCTCCCCCTAAGCTGTGTTTCCCCTTGGGCAAGTTTCTTAGCTGCTCTGTTCTATCTGTTAAATGAATGGCCTGCCAGGGACAGAAGTCACATGACTGGGAGGTCTGAGAGGCTGAGGATTCTGAGGAACAGGCTGACCCTCCTGGCCGGTTACAGCAAACACACGAACGTGTTACGTGTTTGAGCCTAACAAATTACCCTTGCGTGCCCACATCGTTGACTGGCCTTCTCCTCTATGGAAAGTCAGTATGTGCAGGGCCCACAGCTGTGCCTTTCATTCGGGAGGCGGACATGGTAGGCCATGGTGCTGGGCTGGGAGTGTGAGGAGGAAATTAGGGCCTCTTCTTTAATCCTTGGGAAGAGAGGATTTCCCCAATGACACTCAAAGGTTGAGCCATAAGCCTAAAACATGCTGAAGGTTTGGGCTATTCTGAGAGGTGGGGTCATCGTCGTCGTGGAAGGTCTGTTTTGGAGTGAAGGTGTGCCCTTCCCAGGCCATGCTTCTGCCGTTCCAGAGGAAACTATGGCCCTTCCTAAATGCCTCCTCCTCTCAAGAAACAGCCTTCAGTCACAGCTGCAAGTCCCCCAAACCCTACGCAGGCACCAAATGCAGTCCCTGTCATTTCTTGGCCCATTTCCTACCCAGAATCCACGCATCATGCTTGTGTTCCTTCCCCAATGTTCATGTAATCCAATTTAAGCTGCCTTTTTTCCCCTTGGTAAGTCGTGGAAACAGATGTATGGTCAACTCTTAGGGTGTGCCACATGCATGGGTCAAGCTCACTTATGCAGAGTGTTTAGGACTTCTAATCACCTGATGGGAGAACTTAGAGATCCAGCAAAGCCTGCAGCCGGGGATAGGGATGACTTTTGTGAAGTCCCTATCTTTAGGAGGTTGGGATGAGCCTGGCCCTGCATGAGGGAATCCCTGGGTCCAGGCTAGCCGTCATATACACCGTGTTTTTTCACGGCGACTCGATCCTTCCTGTGAGGTTGAGCAGGGAGGGCCCTTTTCAATGAAGTATTTTTGAATCCTTGGAGGAGGGAGCTCCAAGGGAAGAGGTGTTGAATGTGCCTGGTTTCTCCAAGAAGCAGCTTTACCTCTTCCATTTCTGTGCACATTCTGCAGTGCTCAGGGGGACATTTGCTGGGAACATTCTTAAAATAGAGAGACATGGAAGCCAATCTGTCAGGTAGAAGTGTGCAGGCAGTGAAGCCCTGGTTACCGTGACACCACACTGGAATGTAGTGAGTTTGTCCCAACGGAGTGATTCCCACTGGAGGGACCCAGGGGTCCTAGGAGGGGATATGTGATATAGCTGCACAGCCTTAAGGCCTCCTAGGATGGTTCCTGACCATTTTAGCCCTTGACCCTGGCTGCCTTTCTGATTCCAGGCATCTGGAGGACAATCAGGTGAGCGTCATCGAGAGAGGCGCCTTCCAGGACCTGAAGCAGCTGGAGCGATTGTAAGTAAAGCACATAACCTTGTGTCCTTAAAAAAAATGTTTTCTGCGTTTATTTTGTTTTGTTTTGTAAATTGGTCTTGTGGCCTTGGTAAAAACAAGTCTTCAGTGTTCAATGAAATGTTTCCTGCTATATTTAAAGTTGTTTTGAAGCATGTTACAGAGGCACTGAGATCCATACAAACTCTTCTAGCAAGGCTGCAGAGGCCAGCATCTGGGGCTGGATTTCTTCTTCCTGGGCTTGAGGTAGCCCTTGCTTTCCTCATATGGGGCTGCTTCCATGCAGACCTCAGCTTCTCCTTTCCCATAGGAGTGAGCTAGTGCCATGGAAGCTATCCGCAGACCCTCCCCTACTCCTCAGGCTTCTCCTCCCGGGACTCCTCCTGGTACTCTGTGGGAGAGGAAGGATGGGCGAGTGGGCGCAGCCTTCCGCGTGCCTGCTTCTCCGAGCGCCAGCCTGTCTCAGGAAACCCACACGTTTCCACGAGAGAACACATTGCCACTGGTTTAAAATAGGCCGCTGTTCTGACTTGATCGGAGAGAGGGTGGGCAGCGAAAGAAGCGGGGCTGGGAGTTGGATGGAGCCTCCATTTATTTTACCCATGAATGCTTTTGCAGAAAACTCTGGGGTCATTTTGATGAGGAAGGTTGCTCAGATGGTTAAGTGGGCAGCCTCACCTTTTCCTCAGTTAATCACAGCTGACAGCTCATAACATCTGGATATTTGCTTTCTGCCCTCTGAGTGGGGATTGTCCCCAAGAGCACTTAGTCATGCCGGTGGGCGGCTCTCATCGATGCCTCCCCCTGCAACCCCATTGCCCTGACGTTTCAGCTTCCTTCTGTACTGGGGGCTGGGACGGCGGCGGTTCCTGGCTCTGCCAGCTTACCTGGAAAAACACTGCTCTGCTTATCCGTCAAGTTGCCAAAGCTCACTTGCTTTGAGACAAGTCTCTTTATAGAGACTTGCTCGGGTGAAATGGACTGCCCGACCCCACTTTCTTTTTTAGTGATGTGTCATTCTTGCCCCACAAAGTCATTATATCCAAGGCCACATGGCAGCGGGGAAGATCCTTGTCTCGTGGGGATTAATAGGACCCAGAAAAATGCATTCCTTTCCACTGTGTGTGGACTCTCTCAGCGTTGTTTTCTTCTGGATCAAACTCCAGCATGGATTTCGCCATCACCAGTTTGAAAGTACGACATTTATTTCTAGTAAGAGAGAAATGTTATTAAAAAAATTACGTTATTTTTGTTTATATTTTGATCTTCAGGTTTCCTAAAATTTAAGTTCTCCTTTTTTGGACCAAAGAAAACATGAAAGTATTCGTTGAACCTTGTTCCTCTCTGTGAAATAATCAACATTTACATAGAAAAATAAACACATGGTCCGGTGTGAAAAAGCTGCCTCTTGCTTGGTTTTGTGATTAGAAGGGTAAATAAATTCTTAATTTGTTAATTTCATGGTTGTTGGGAGGGAATTAGCGAGGGCTTTGGAGACACCAGGACCTGCGTGTGTCTCTCACATGTGATCAGTTCTTTTATTCTACCCCCCTGCCAAATTACAACAAGCACAACGAGGTGTCATTACCCTCATTTACAGATGAAGAAACAAAAGCCCACGGAGAGTAAGCCAAGGAATTGTCAGGGCTGGGTAAGATTCCAAGCCACATCTGTCTGACATCAAAGCCCACGTCCTTCCCTATCCCTGGGTTGCAGGCACGAGATGAAGTGTGAGCTTTTGCGGTGGCCCTCTCCTAGCCTCTCACATACCCATTCAGCTCCAGGGAGGCTCAGGGAAATAGTTCTGGCAAAGGTCTCTTTTCTTTAGAGTGGTGAACAAGGCCAAAATGCCATGCGTGTCTGGGGAACTGAAGGGATTACAATCGCTGAGCAAACCTGGCTCTTTGTCTGTTTTGGTATATTAGGTGGGTAATGCTAGCTGCAGTACTACATAAACCCTCAAATCTCAGGGACTTAGCACAGTGGAAATTCGCTTCTAATTTCTACAAACTCACTATGGACATTCCTGTTGGGGCCCCTCTCTCTCTCCCAAGTACAGTCTCGAAGACAGGGACCATCCATGCCTTGCTGCTGCCGTCGTCTTTGTATCTTGGTTTGCAATGCACAAATGCATCAAGTCAGCAGGTGGGGAAGTGGCATGGAGCTCCGGGCAGTGCACGTTCCATGTGAGACTGAGAAGGAGTATTCCATATATATCCGTTCTTACCTCCTGTGAACTAGCCGTGTAGCTATAGTTGAACTCCAGGGAAGACCGACAGAAGTGACTGAGGTCTATGGCGGGGGTAGACGTTAGCTTAGTGGGTAGGTAGTCAGTCTGACTTCTGTTGCATGGGAGCTGGAGAGGTACTTGGGCAGGAAGATGGGAAGTATCTGTCATTTGATAGGCATCAGAGTCAGCAAGAAGGTAGGGGTGAGTGCGTGTGTGTGTGTGTGTGTGTGTGTGTGTGTGTGTGTGTGTGAGAGAGAGAGAGAGAGAGAGAGAGAGAGAGAGAGAGAGAGAGAGAGAGAGAGATGAAGTATATGTATGTGAGAGATAGATAGGTAGGTAGGTAAATAGGTAGGTAGGTAGATAGATAGATAGATAGATAGATAGATAGATAGATAGATAGATAGATATAGATGCGTAGGTAGATGGAGTGTGTTAATGGATAGATAGGTAGATATATGGATGGAGGGAGGGTGTGTGTGTGTGTGTGTGTGTGTGTGTGTGTGTGTGTGTGTGAGAGAGAGAGAGAGAGAGAGAGAGAGAGAGAGAGAGAGAGAGAGAGAGAGAGAGAGAGAGAAGGAGAAACAGAGAGAGAAGGGGAGAGAGAGAGAGAGATGAATCCTCACTGGCGTTTTCTGCTTTCTATTCAGCAGTCTGCTTTCAGTCACACTGAGTGACATGAAGTAAGAAAATGCAGTATATTTGCTGTTAACCACTGAAGACGTAGATGGTGGCTGTGCTATCTGTAGCACGCTCCAGGGTCTCCTTACCCATGTCTCTGTGTTGCATAATAGAATATTTTTATTGGTTCTGTTCTAAAACACAGCCTAAAAAGTAAATGGATTTGGATAATTTCCATTCTGTTTTATTCTTGGCTTGTGCTCTTGGGGGCTCACTGGGAAAGAAGGGAGGTGTTAAATTTCAAGTTCCTGTTCCTCCATGAAAGGACCCCCCAGGCTGAGTTAGGTACCCCTCTCTTTTAGATCATTTCCTATTGCAGTAACAAGACACCTGAGACCGGGTACTCTATAAAGAAGAGTTGGTTTAGTTATAGTTGGGGGCTAACAACATAAAATTGGGTGACCCCATCAGTTGGGCCTCTGGTGAGGGCCCCATTAGCCATGCTGCATCATGGTGGATCTCAGCATGAGGGGAGCTTACATGAGGAGAAATTATTTAGGGAGACAAGAAGCCAGAGAGTAACAGGGCATAGGCTTGCTCTTCTTTTCTTTTCTTTCTTTCTTTTTTTTTTTTTTTTGGTTTTTCGAGACAGGTGGCACACGCCTTTAATCCCAGCACTCAGGAGGCAGAGACAGGCAGATCTCTATGAGTTCGAGGCCAGCCTGGACTACCAAGTGAGTTCCAGGAAAAGACACAAAGCTACACAGAGAAACCCTGTCTTGAAAAACCAAAATAAAATAAAATAAAATAAAATAAAAATTAAAAAAAACTTGTTCTCAGAAGCTGGGGATGGTGGTGCATACCTTCAATCCCAGCACTTGGGAGACAAAGGCAGGTGGAACTCCATGAGTTCGAGGACAGCCTGGTCTATGGATCGAGTTCCAGGACAGCCAGGGCTATTTCATAGAGAAACGCTGTCTCGAAAACCAAACAAACAAACAAACAAACAAAACAACAACAACAACAAACCACACCTTGTTCCCAAGAGAACAACAAACTCTTTCCCATGCTAGTATCAATCTCTTATAGAAGTTGTCTGTGTGTCCGCTCCCCCCCCCACCACCACCACCACTGTGGCACAGTCACCTCTCACTTGGTCCTGCCTCTTAAGGATTCCATGACCTGTTAATCCTGCCACGTTTAGGATGAGGCTGTCGGCATATCCCACTCACACACCTTTTTGGGATAGTGGCGCATTCTTATCCCTGTCCTAAAGTGTGGGAGGCCATGTCTCTACTTTCTCTTTCGAAATTGTTTGTCTTCCAGACAGTAATTCTGTTGGGGACAGAATTATGGCTCATTTAGCTCCTCCTAGTCTTAAGAGCTCTGAACAAGGAATGAGTGTAGATACTTAAGGGATTTTTACTAAAAATATTTGAAGTTTTATTTTATAGCAGTAGATCGAGCTGGCACTAAAATGCCCCCCTCCCCCAAGAGGATTCTTGGTGACGTCTGGAGATGTTTTTATTTTTACAGCTGAGGGTAAAGGCTGGTAGTCTGTCTGACAAAGCTAACGTACTTAGGACATCCCCCAAGAAGGAATTCTTCAACCCCAGATCTCACTGGTGCCAAAGTGGAGGCATCCTCATGATGGGATAGGTAGCCTGCTAGACACCGCACATTATGACCTTGGTGTGATAGAGTATAAGTCTCAGACCATTGCTGTGAAATCTGCCTTAGCTAGACCCCAGTTTTCCTGTCCAGAACATTCTAAGAGGATGAAGCTCAGTGAAACCAGGGGGGAGACAAATAGATAAGCTCTTCCCTGAGGTAACCACCCCAGTCTCTTCAGAGTCCATGTCATGAAAGATGGGGACATGCCATTGATTAGCCTCGATTTAAGAAATCCAGGATAGCGAGAGCAACACAGAAAGTTGGGGGAATTAAAATGGTCAAAGATCCTTTAATTATCTACAAAGTGATCATGGCGTTAATGTTTATTGCCTTATTAAAATGGAGGATGTTTGCTAGAATCAGCAGGATAGCCTCTAAAAAGCACAGTATAGAATGTAATAGCCAAAGGGAGGAAGGGACAGGTCTGTGACAAAACTGTGTCGCTCATTCAAAGGAGGGGTAAAAGGGAAGAAAAATTCCT